TGTCTTTATTTTTTTTATTACATAATCAATATTTTTTATTATGGTTTTGTGGGGTACAGGTAAGAGTTAGGTGTACAATTACATTTCATTCAGGCACCCTGTTGATAAGAGGTGTTTCCCCATCCCCAGACAGATATTTGCTACTGTTAATCCCATCTCCCCCACCATAGTTTCCTAGTACCATCAGTCATTTTCTTATAGTATTACATTGGATGTTCAAGGTCCATTATATGAGTGAGAACATGTGATACTCGGATCTTTGTTTCTGAGAGGTCACTCAGTATTATAGACTCTAGTTCCATCCAGGTTGCTATAAAATTCATGATTTTGTTCTTTTTTATGGCTGTGTAGTATTCCATCGTGTATATGTACCACATTTTTTTAATCCAGTTCTCTTTTGATGGGCGGCATGGTTGTTTCCACGTTCTTGCTATTGTGAACAACGCTGCGATAAACATACGTGTGCAGGTATCTTTTTTATACAGTGATTTGAGTTCTTCAGGGTATATTCCCAGTAGGGGATTGCGGGGTCATATGGGAGGTTGATATTTAGAGCTTTTAGGAATTGCCACACTGCTTTCCACAAAGGTTGCACTAGTTTACACTCCCACCAACAGTGTAGAAGTGTTCCCTTTTCACCACACACTCTCAAGCAATTGTTATTTTTTGAGTTATTGATAATTGCCATTCTGACTGGAGTTAGGTGGTATCTCAGTGTGGTTTTGATTTACATCTCCCTGATGATTAGTGAGGTTGAACATTTCTTCATGTGTTTGTTGGCTGCTCGGATGTCCTCTTTTGTGAAGTATCTATTCATATCTTTTGCCCATTTTATAATGGTGTTGTTTGTTTTTTCTTTTCAGCACATTTGAGTTCCTTGTAGATCCAGGATGTTAAGCCTTTGTCAGACCTGGTGTTGGCAAATACTTTTTCCCAGTCTGTAGGCTGTCTCCCTGCTCTCTTGATGGTTTCTTTGGCCTTGCAGAAGCTTGTCAGTTTAATAAGGTCCCACTTGTCTATCTTCTCTCTTATGACCTGTGGGTTTCGGGTTTTGTTCAGGAATTGGATGCCAGTTCCGATTTCCATGAGGGTATGTCCTTCATTTTCTAAGGTTCTTATGGTTTGAGGTTTTACATTTAAGTCTCTGATCCATTTGGAGTTAACCTTTGTGCATGGGGATAGATAGGGGTTCTGTTTCAATCTTCTGCATGTGGTCAGTCAGTTTTCCCAGCACCATTTACTGAATAGGTTCTCCTCTCCCCAGTGGTAGGTGGTGGAGGCCTTGTCGAAGATGAGTTGGTTGAGAAATTGAGGTTTTGCTTCTGGAATCTCAATTCTATTCCATATACCAATACCAAGCTGTTTTGATGATTGTAGCTTTATAGTAAAGTTTGAAGTCTGGTAATGTGATACCACCTGCTTTGTTTTTTTGCTGAGGATTGTTCTGGCTATTCTTGGATGTTTGTGTTTCCATATGAATTCCTGTGTTGTCTTTTCTAGGTCTGAGAAGAATGTTGCTGGTAATTTGATGGGTATTGCGTTGAATTTGTAGATTGCCTTAGGTAAGATGGACATCTTCACAATGTTGATTCTTCCAATCCATGAGCATGGGATATTTTTCCACTGGTTTGTGTCGTCTCTGATTTCTTTGAGCAGTGTTTTGTAATTTTCATTGTAAAGATCTTTCACGTCTCTGGTTAGGAAGATGCCAAGGTATTTCATTTTTTTTTTGTGGCTATTGTGAATGGAATTGTGTTTTTTATTTGGGTTTCTGTTTGTTTATTATTGGTGTAGAGAAATGCGATTGTCTTTTGTACATTTATTTTGTATCCTGAGACTTTGCCAAAGGTCTTTATCAGTGTAAGGAGGTTTTTGACAGATTCTCTTGGGTTTTCAAGATACACAATCGTATCATCTGCAAAGAGAGATAACTTGACTACCTCTTTTCCTATTTGGATACCCCTGATTGCCTCCTCTTCTCTGATTACTTGAGCCAGGACTTCCAATACTATGTTGAACAGGAGGGGTGAGAGTGGGCATCCTTGTCTTGTTCCAGTTTTCAGGGGAAATGGTTCCAATTTTTGTCCATTTAGTAGTATCCTGGCTGTGGGTTTCTTGTAGATGGCTTTTACTATTTTGAGGTATGTTCCCTGTATGCCTAGATGTTCGAGGGTGTTAATCAAGAAGGGGTGCTGGATTTTATCAAAAGCTTTTTCTGCATCTAATGATATAATCATGTGGTTTTTGTTTTGACATCTGTTGATGTATTTAATTACATTTATGGTTTTACAAATGTTGAACCAGCCTTGCATCCCGGTATGAAGCCTACTTGGTCATGATGGATGATTTTTGAGATGTATTGCTGAATCCGGTTTGCTAGGATCTTGTTGAGAATTTTAGCATCTATGTTCATCAAAGATATTGGCCTGTAGTTTCTCTTTCTTTGTTGGATCTTTACCTGGCTTGGGTATCAATGTGATGTTGGCTTCGTAAAATGATTTGGGGAGAGTTCCATCTTTTTCAATCGCCTGGAATACCTTCAGTAGGATTGGTATCAGCTCCTCCTTAAATGTCTTGTAGAATTCTGCTGGAAAGCCATCTGGACCAGGGCTTTTTTTTGTAGGAAGTTTTCTTATTGTGTAGTCGATTTCCTTGATTGTTATTGGTCTATTTAGGGTCTCAATTTCTTCTTGTTCCAACCTAGGTAGGTTGTGTGATGTCAGAAAGTCCTCCATTTCCTTAAGGTTTTCAAGTTTGTTTCCATACAAGTGTATGTAGTAGTCGCTAATGATCTTTTGTATTTTTTTCAGGGTCAGATGTGACTTCATCTTTTGTGTTTCTGATTGTGTTTATTTGGCTTTTTTCTCATTTTTTCTTGGTCAGTCTAGCTAGGGGACCATTGATCTTGTTTATCCTTTCGAAGAACCAGCTTTTTGTTTCATTGATTTTTTGTAATATCTTTTTGTCTTCTATGTCTTTGATTTGGGCTTTTATTTTGGTGATCTGGATTCTTCTGCTGAAATTAGGGTTTTTGTGGTCTTGCTTGTCCAGCTTCTTTAGGTGGCTTGTTAGGTTGTTAATTTGTGTTCCTTCCATTTTCTTCATGTGTGTTTGTAGGGATATAAATTCGCCTCTTACGACAGCTTTCAAGGTGTCCCAGAGATTTTGTTAAGATGTTTCTTCATTTTCATTTGTTTCCTGGTATCTTTTGATCTTTGTTTTGATTTCATCATTGACTCAGGAGTTGTTTAGCATCATGCTGTTTAGTGTCCATATCTTTGTGGGTTTTGGGGGGACCTTGTCGGTGTCAATGTTTATTTTTATTCCACTGTGGTCCAAGAAGGTGCATGGTAGAATTTGGGTCCTTTAAAATTTGCTTATGCTTGATTTATGGCCAATTACGTGGTCGATCTTAGAATACGTTCCATGCGGTGATGAGCATAATGTATATTCTGTGGTCTTTGGATGGAGTGTTCTGTATGTATCAATTAAGTCCATTTGGTCCAAAGTCACATTGAGGTTCCAGATCTCCTTGCTGATTTTTTGTCCTGATGATCTGTCTAGGGTTGTGAGTGGGGTATTAAAGTCCCCAGTTATGATGGTGTTAGAGTCAATATCTTTCTTTAGTTTTCCTAGAAGTTGCTTTATGAAAGTTGGCACACCTATGTTGGGTGCATATATGTTTAGGATAGATATTTCTTGTTGATGGATTGAGCCTTTTTATCATTATGTAGTGGCCTTCTGTATCTTTTTTGATTTTTAATAGCTTGAAGGGTATTTTGTCTGAAATTAAGATCGCTAGTCCTCCTTTCTTTTGTATTCCGTTCACCTGAAAGTTTGTTTCCCATCCTCTTACTTTGAGTCTGTGGGTGTCCTTTCTAGTGAGGTGAGTCTCTTGAAGGCAGTAGATTGTTGCCTGATGATATTTTATCCATTTTGCCATTCTGTGTCTTTTCAGTGGTGCATTTAGTTTATTCACATTTAGGCTAATAATTGAAATGCAAGAGTTGGTCCTTGTCATAAGGTTCTTACAGAGTTGTTCCTGTTTGTTTGTTGTCTTTCTTTGGATTCTGGAGTTGGCTCATGTATGTTTTTAATCTCCTATTCTTTATGTATGCCCTCTTACTTTGCTCAATTCTGGAGTTTCACTGTAGGTTGAGGGTGGTCCTTTTTGCAGTTTTGAGATTTACTTAAGGGGGGAGCTGTGACTCAAAATTTATCTGCAGGTCCTGGTATTCGCTGATAGGTGTGTGGATAATCTGGAACCCACTACCCACTGCCTTGGAATCTGTCCGTGCAGTGGGGCTGTAGGTTTACTCCCTGAAATAAAATGTGGTTAGCAGAGGGAAGAGAATGGAGCAGACAGTTGGTTGAAGACGGAGGTGGAGAGACAGAGAGTAAGGGGGGAAACAAACGAGTGTGCCAACAAATGGAGAGAGAGACCTATACTGAAACAGATAAAAACAATAGACCACAGCTACAGATGAACCAACTCCCCTACAAAAAAAACACAAACATATAGTGGTGCTAACATACAAGCTAAGCAACCACCTTATTGGTGTGCTGTTCCTCTATACAAAGATATGGTTTACAGAGAGAAGAAAAGAGAAGAAAAGGAAGAGGAAAAAGAAAGGAACAATACAGTAGGAATAGAATTAAGTCATTAAACTAACAGAATCAATGAAGCACACTCTGAGACTTTTCGTTTAAGTCCAATGTCCTTTCAGTTCTGATTTCTAGCTGTCTTTTTCAAGCTGGTAAATTAGTTTGCAGTTAGGGTCAGTTGCTCCTGGTCTGCTGTAAAGGACAATTCAGATCACCCTCCGTTCACCACTCTGGCCTGTGTCTTTTTCAAGCTTGTTTCTCCCGTTTCGGTGTTGTTACCTTGAATCGCCAGCAGGTGGTGCTATCTCAGCTGCTCGCCCCAGAGGGGGTGGGGCCGGAGAGGAACCAGCAGAGACTGGAGATGGATGCCTGCCTCAGGTCAGATGGCAGGAGACTCACAGCCGGCAGGACGTCTTGGTCACAGGAGAGGTGGCAGCGATGCCAGCAGATCTTCCCTGAAGGGGCTTCAAGGACTGAAGTCGTGGATCGCCTCCGGCCCGGGTGGTGCGATGTGGTACTGGCGGCGGCAGCGGTGGCGGCGGTGGTGTCTGCCCTGCAGTGGCTGTCCAGTCCGCTGCGATGCCCCAGCGGTGGTAATGGCCGAGCTCCGTATGAAGAGCAGGCTGCCATGTTGAGGTCCGCAGCCCCCGGGGGTGAGAACCAGAGACCCACTGCAGTTCTCCTTTGCAGAGGGTTTCACAGACCAGGTTTCCCCATCGCCATCTTGCCAGAAGTCCCCAGGTATTTCTTTCCAAAACTGTAGAGTTGTTTTGAGGTGGGGATGTATCAGAGCTATCCGAACATTTTCATGTAGGTAAGCCTTTACTTGATTTCTCATTTTTGCTAATATAGTCTTGCCAACAGCCTTGCTCATATTTCCTGTGGTCAATGGTACTTTTATTTGCACAGGGGAGATACCTAGGAGTGAATTGGCTCTGTTGAAATGCACGAGAATTCAAAATTTAACTAAAGATATTGCCAGATTATTCTTTCCAAAGATGTTAGTAATTCATTCACTTTCTCACCAGTCATGTGGGGAAGTACTTTCTTTTCTCCATGTCCCTGGAAACATAATATGCATTACCAAACTTTTTCATTTGTTCCTGCCTAATATCTTCTTAATTACTTTAATTTTAATTTTAATTTTCTGGTCTACTAGCATATTTTAGTACATTTTTAAATTTTAGTACATTTTTAAATTCTCTGAATTCCCTATGCTTCCTACTTGGCCCATATTTCTATTGGGTTGTTTTTTCCTATTATAAATTTGAAAGACAAATTGTTATGTTCTCACTTATAAGCGGACCCCAAACATTTACCATAATACTATAAGAAAGGGATTGGCACTGGGCTGGAAACTGACAGGGGAGGGAAGGTGGGGACACATTAATAAGGGTAACTGATCTCAAATCAGGAAAAGTGGAAACCAAAGGTAGGCCCTAACTTTACCTGTATGGTGACCACTTGTATACCTAATCCTGAATTGTAACCCACATCTTTAAAACAAAATAAATTTAAAAATAAATAAATGTGGGAGGCAAGTTGCATATATAGATATAAGCACTCGGTCTCCTTTATTGTTTGTACTTTTCTTTTTTTTTTTTTTTTGAGTTGGAGTCTCACTCTGTTGCCCAGACTAAAGTGAGTGGCCGCTCCCAGCCATCGCAGCCTCGACCCGCTGGGCTCCGGCGATCCTTCTGCCTCAGCCTTCCAAGTAGCTGGAACTACAGGCATGCGCTACCATGCCCGGCTAATTTTTTTGATTTATTGTAGAGATGAGGTCTCGCCAAGTTGCCCAGGCAGGTCTTGAACCCGCAGGCTCAGGCAATCCACTCACCTCAGCCTCCCAAAGTGTGGGATTACAGGCTGAGCCACCGAGCCTGGCTGTTTGTACTTTTTAACATTGACTGTTTAATAGATGTGTTGCTTCCTTTTCCTTCATATTTAAAAAAAGCATAGCAAAAATGTTTACCTTTTAAAAATACATCGTTTCTTAGTGTCTAATCTTAGTTAAAAGAACTTCCTCATTGATCTTCCATACGACCCAGCAATCCCCCTATTGAGAACTCAAATCATCCTACAAAAAAGATACCTGTGCATGCATGTTTGTTGCAGTTCTATTCACAATAGCAAAAACATGGAACAAACCATACTGCCCATCGAAGCTGGACTGGATAATAAAAAAATGTGGTACATATACACAGTGGAATATTATGCAGCCATAAAGAAGGACAAACATATGTACTTCACAGCAACTTGGATGAATTTAGGGTCGACCATAATCAGTAATCTATCATGGAAACAAAGAACAGAGTACCATATGTTCTCACTCATAAGTGGACCTTGAACAATTATCATAATATTATAAGAAAGCGATTGGCTATAGTGGGAAATTACCAGGGTGGGGGTGTTAGGATTGGCAATTGAGGGAAGCTGCCAGGGGAGGGACGGGCACACCTCATCAACAAGGGTACCTGCATAATGAACATTTGTATACCTAACCCTAAATTGTACCCCACATCTTTAAAAGTAAAAAAAGAGAAAAAGGGAAGACTTCCTTCACCTGGATAGCATAACACATATCCTAGCTTTTTTCTAGAATTGTAGTTGGGTTTTTTTGCTCTTAAGTTTTTAATAAAACTAGCATTTTAAAACATTCTCTTATTTGTAGTTAAATAGTACTTCTGTTTCGTTAAACTCTCAAATGTGTTGGCTTCTAATTTTGATACTCTATTCTGTACTAATGATCTTTTTCTGTCCTTAAGTGGGCAACATGATGCCTTAATTACAGCTGGCTTAATAGAATGGTCTGATATTGGATAGAGCAAGTTCCCTTTGCCATTCTTCTATTTCTAAAACTTGACTATGCTCTGGAGTTTATTTCTTCCATGAAAAATTTTAGGCCATCTTCTCCAGTTCCTAAAATCTCCCTAAATTATGTGTTGACTGTGGTTCTCCCTTATCTGAGGGGAGTCATGTTCCACAACCACCAGTAGATGCCTGAAAACACAGATAGTACCAAACTCCACATATACTGTTTTGTTTGGTATACGTACATAGCTATGATAAAGCTTAATTTATACATTAGACATAGTAAGAAATTAACAACAGTAATTGAAAATAAAATAATTATAAGAATATGCTATAATAAAAGTTATATAAATGTGGTCTCTTTCACTGGCTCTCAAAACATCTTATTTTGCAATACTTATCCTTCTCTTCTTCTGGTCTGTTATCTGATCACCCAGTGACTAACATGAGTATATACAGCATAAATATGCTGGCAAAGGGATAGTGCATGTCCTAGGTGGGAGGAAACTGAAAAGCACAAAATTTTGTTACTCAGAACGGTGTGTACTTTAAACTTTTTTTTTTTTTTTTTTTTTAGTCAAGTTCTCACTCTGTTGCCGAGGCTGCAGTGCTAGAGTGAGTGGCATGATCACAGCTTACTGCATCATCAAACTCCTGCACTTAGGTGATCCTCCTGCCTCAGCCTCCTGAGTAGCTGGGACTACAGTCACACACCATCCCGCCCAGCTAATTTTTTTGATTTTTTTTGTAGAGACTAGGTCTCTTTATGTTGCCCAGGTTGGTCTTGAATTCCTGGGCTCAAGCAATCCTCTCACCTTGGCCTCCCAAAGTGCTGGGATTACAGATGTGAGCCACTGCACCCAACTGGTTTAAATTTATAAATTGTTTATTTCTAAAATTTTTCATTTAATATTTTTGAATTGCAGTTGACCACGGGTAACTGAAATCATGGAAAACAAAACCTTGGATAAGGGAGGACTACTGCATATATGTAAGTATGCATATGTCTGTGTGTGTGTGTGAATGCATATGTAATTATATACATCATTTATGACATAGTATGAATAAATTTATTACATGTATAAAATCTATAATCTATAATTATTGTCTTTGATAGTAATCTTCGTTACCTTTAAGTGTTGCCCTTTAATTTTCATTTCTCTTTAAATTTTTGATAAGAATGGGATCTACATTTTAGAAAATTTGAGAAAATCTATTTTCAGCATCCTTGATATGATCATTTGCTTTTTTTTTCCTTTACCAATCAGTGCAATTGATTCTGTTGATATATTACCTGATATTATGACCTACCTTTGTATTCTTGGAATAAATCTTTCTTGAATGTAGTGGCGTCTTCATTTGCTATAAAGCTGGATTCTCTTTGATAAAATTTACTTAAAAATTGTGTATTTATGTTCAGAAGAGAGCTCTCTCTCTCTCTCTCTCTCTCTCTCTCTCTCTCTCTCTCTCTGCTATCTTTATCAGGTTTGGAGGTGAAAGTTTTACAGTTTTCATAAAATGGATTGGAAGAGATCTCTATTTTTCTCTGGCCTGGATTAGTTGAACTAACATTATTTTATTTTGAAAACCTACCATGTAGTAAAGTTTATTTTTGGTGTACAGTACTATAAATTTTAACACATGTTATTTATGTGACCACAACTACAAATAAGATATAGAACAGCTTCATCACCTACAAAATTCCTGCATATCCTCTCCTTAACCACTAGCAACTGGCAAACACTGATTTGTTCTCTACCACTAAAGATGGAGTCTTGTCAAGAATGTCATATAAATGGAAACAGAATATATAACATTTTGAGGCTTGCATCTCTGCGACTGGCTCCTTTTACTCTGCATAATGCTTTGAAATTCATCCATGTTGTTGCATGAGTCAATAGTTTGCTTGTTTATTCATTCAGCTGTTGAAAGCCTTTTGGGTTGTTTCCAATTGTTGACGACTGTGAATAGAGCTGCTATAAACATTCATCTACAGGTTTTTGTGTGAACTTAAATTTTAATTTATCTTGGGTAAATACCGACGTGGGACAACAGGGTTGTAGGTAAGTGTATGTTTAAGTTTATGAAACACTGACACATTGTTTTCCAGAGGGGCTGTGTCATTTTGTATTTCCATCAGCAATGTATGAGAGTTCCAGTTGTTCTGCATTCTTGCCAGGACTTTGTAGTCTCAGTATTTTTAATTTTAGTCATTCCAATTGATGTGCAGTGGTAATGAATCATGGTTTTAATTTGTATTTTCCTAATGGCTAAAGATGTTGAACATCTTTTCATGACTTATTTTGCCATCCATACGTCCTCTCTGATGAAGTGATTGTTCTAGTCTTTTACCCATATTCAAATTAGGTTATTTTCTTAGTGTTGAGTTTTAAGAGTTCTTCATATATTCTGAATAAAGTCCTTTTTTGGACGTATGATTTGCAAATATTTCTCCTCAGTCTGTGACTTGCCTTTTCATTCTCCTAACAGTGTCTTTTATAGAACAAAAATTTTACATCAGTTTTTGGTCTGTTTTATCAATTTTTAAGTTTTATTTTATGGGTTGTGCTTTTGCTGTCATAGCCATGAAATATTTTCCTAATCTCAAGTCATGAAGATTTTCCGTTATATTTTTTCCTAAAAAGTTTATAATTTTATGTTATGCATCTAGGTACATAATCTAATAGAGCTGTAATTCATTTGTGTGTCTTTTATATAAAGTATAATTAAATTTTGTAGTAGGCTGAGATTTACATTTTTGCCTGTAAATGTCCAACTGTTCCAACACATTGGTGAAAAGACTATTCTTTCT